TTTTTCTATACAGATAGAATTAGCTCTGAGGAACTACTATGGAAGGGAAATACTCTGGAAAACTCTTTAGAGATGGTTTTTGACTTCATTTTACCTGACCTGCAAAACTTTATACTGTTGCAATGCCTATATATGCTAGGTAGGAAACAAGTCACTATTCAAGTCCAGAATAAGACATAAAAGAGATCATGTGAGGCACACAGATAAGGAACAATAAAAACATTCAAAGCACAGATATGTCCAACACTGCATTGCTTCAACGCACAAAACCCCACCAATGTTTGCTGCAATAACRATGTTCAAGACATAAGAAACAAAAAGTGACTGTGAACACTTACAGGTAACAYTTTCCAAATGTGTGAGGTAGCATAGTAGAAATAAAAATATGGATTTGAAATCTAGATGAGATGCTACAGAGTACTGCGTCTTAGTCAACAAACACATACATTAAGCTTTTGTAGTAACAGGTAGCAGTTAGATGGAAAGAGCATTAAGAAATCAGTAGATCAAGGTATAATTTGTTTTTCAGTGCTTTTAAGGCCTCCTTTGTTAATGGTACAAACTTTATGATCTGGAAAATCACATTTCAACTGTTCTGTTTAAAATAATGTAGACATTGTGTGATTGTTTACAGTAATAAGGGATCACCTGGCAGTGATGCTCTAAAGCAGGTCTGTAAAGCATGTGACTCACTGATGGGGTAGGCCAAAGAACTCATTTTACTGCCCTCTCTTTCCTCACCACAGCACACCACAGGCATGCTGCCAACCACTATAAGGGCTAACAGTGCACCCAGCACTTAAGAAACTTCTAGCTAGGCATCACTTACTGAATGCCTGAGCAGCTAAAAAAACAGCACCAACAACTATAGCTATCGATTCTGCTATTCCTAATTCTGCATGGCTTGCATAAGCTCTAGACTARAACATTGTTCAAATGAGAATATTTAGAAAAACAGTGGGCTTGGCAAATGGAAGATTAAAAATATTCTTTTTTTTAAAGTGGTGATATAAAGATTAGTGATATGGAGRTATCAGGCAGCATTGGTGTGAGGACCTCAGCAATTGATTGATAGCCATCAGTTATCAATCAGTTATCAGCTGATTGATGGTAACTGCTTAATCCCAAGGATTTGCACACTGAAAACTTTTCTAGATATTGCACTGCAGTTACCACATATCAAGTGATTAGCAGTGGCATTGCTGTACTCACTGCTGTTGGGTAGAAAAGGAAAAAGGAGTATGAAGACTCCACACACTGCAATTCCTATGCATTAGCAGTTTAGGTGTAGGAATCGTGTGACCCCACAACAGGCAGATCACACTGAAACCAGATGAGAAGATTTGGTAAGAAGCTGAAATTCTGCTTTGAAGTAGCAGCAACATGTACAATAGAACTAAAGAAGCAKGAAAATGGGATTCTTTAGCATTGGGAATATGGCATGAACATAATTTGAAGGCTTAGAAATCTTATTCACTCCTGTGAATTATATTCTCGGAATAAATCAACTACCTCCAATAGTAAGAAAAGGAGATGACCAAAAATCTGCTAATGAAATGAGTGAATGAGAACAGAATCATGCTGTGCAGACATCACCATTTTTTGCTCTATGGCAAACACTGGTAGATTGGATGGAGGCGTGGTGTTAACGTAAGAGATACATAGCATCTTTTGGTACTCCATTTGTTTGKAAAAAAACAGTATTATCTAAACTTGCTTTCAATCATGTGCCATTTCCATCACTTCCACTAACAAATTAAACTCTGGTAACTAATTCCCTAATTGGCTGCATTCTCTAGTGGTAGGAAGTCCTTTATCAGAACAAAAAACATTTTCCTTTWACTTTCCATTTTCTGAGGAATTGACAAAAATACAATGTAGGCTTTTAAAAATTGCCCTGTTTGCTGGCAGCAAGGCTAGCTGCTTACTAAGAGGAAATTATATCAATCAAATCATATAAAAGTACAGTTTATCTGCCAATTATCCCTGAATTTCAAACCAATTCTCGCTCTGTTTTATTGTCTGAACTATGATTTATGTGATAGCAGGTATACAGACTTTGTCCTTTAAGCCACYGAAGACAAGATGTAGGTTTAAGTGCAAAAGTCTCACCAATATATTCATTTTATCAATAGTATCATTTTACCAGATACTTCCTAGAGGTAAAGCAAGACCAATTCAGACTGCAGTGGAAAAACAAGTACATGCTTTTTCTGCCAGGCCGACACATTTGTATTAAATATATCTGAAGCTTCTGCACTAGCAGTGTCTTCATAGAAGTATCATAGTTGCCAGTGCGGGTGCATTATCAACTACATACATGCAGCTACTGRATATATTTCATTTTAGCTCAGCTCCTGCAAACAGTTGTTTTTGAAACCATAATACTAATTCTGAAGCTGCTTCCTGAAAAAAAAAATACCACTGTCTTCCTCTGAGCAAAGAGGAAGATAGAACTGAGTCACTGCTTTGCACGACCTCTAAACCTAAGATAAAATGCTCTAGAGGGTGCTATTTAGAAGGAATAGTCATAACGCAACTTACTTGCCGACACACTCACTCAGCTAATCACACCCAAGTAAGGACCTGGCTCCAAATGCCACAGTTGGCTGATCAAACAAGTGACTGGAGTTATCAGCACACCTGCTACTAGGAGACAAGAAGGCATGGCCACAGATTTCAGAGTACAATTTCTTGCAATGCCTCTACAGGCACTGCAAAACTAAGTCATGTCTTGCTTCTGGAATGGGACCATTTTCATGCTCTGCATCTGCCCAAAACAAGAGTTTTTCAATGCAAGGACAACACAAATTTCCAAGACATCCTAGATCCGCTACATCAACTTTCCTAGGCCTCCAACACTTGTACTAATAAACTTTCCATAACAGCATGCTRGAAATATTTGACATCATCCACAGGCATTCTAGCATCTCTGTGGCATGATGAACAGAAAAAAACATCCTGGAATAAGTGAGAGTATAACAGTGAAAGAAGAATCAGAAGCTCCAATAACAGAAAATTGCTATTACCAAGGGCCAGAGCAAGTGCGTGACAATCTTTCTTTCTGGACTTGTACCACAACAAAAAGCACAAGGGTCACACTCTAATTTACCAGCAATAAAAAACTATSACATATATGGTTGTATATATAGCAAGAATACTTAATAATCAATTACCTCATAATAAATCTATTTAATTTCATCAGCACCACTGAAGGAAAATATTCGYATTTTCTCCTCTCATTCTGGGAGACCATTATTYGTGCTTAACCTGTCCTGGGCCCCTCTTTTCACCAAGGTCCTCTAAACCAATAAAATCCAATTTTATTTACTAAAACGGTGRAAAGTAAATCCAAGATGTAATAGTTTCCTGCCACTCTGATGAGTTAAATCAACTTACTGAAGTGCTCAAGTGCCAGAGTTAGTGCATGGGTGGAGACTGGGGGAGCACAGCCTTTAATAGGAAAGGGAAGAAAGAAGGAAGAAAAACTGCCTCCTTCACCAGGAGCAACAAGCTGTTAGAAATGGCAGAAGTTCATGGCTTGGTACATGGCCATGAAATTCATGCTGGAGATAACGCTACAATTTCTCCCTTTTGTTCATCCTTTACCCAGCTGATTAAAAACAAGTAACAAGTATATTAAGACACGCACACAGAAATTCACTGTTTGCCTCTCTTGTCTCTCCTCCAAAACTTCCAGCATTAAAGATACACATTCACTTATGTGCCCTTCAAGTTTCAAGAACAAAGTCGTAAAAGACAAACTGAGTCACTCTGTTCTATGACCCACACAACCAGGCAGTCATACCAGAAACCACATCACATTTTATTATTTAATTTTTTTTTTTAAAAAAAAGCAAAAACAAAAAACCAACAAAACACAACCTGAAAACACATGATATAAGCAGAAAAAATAATTCATTTGTGAAAACAGATATTTAATATATTTGTTTACTTCAAAATTTAGTTCTCCGAAGTTCAAGATATTGATTTGTCAGCTTTGCAACTGACTTGTTTTTGAAAACATTCGTTTACGTGCAGTTCTCATTGGATAACAACCCTTCAGGGTTTGCACTCTTTGGGGAATGGTACGCACTTCCAAAAATATGTTTATTTAAGAGCAAATTTCATTTGCGCACTCAATAAAAGCATACAGATAACAACAMTTCCATGAAACCTGATGCTGCTGTATCTCTTAACTTTAAGAAAAAACTGCGTGTGCCTTTAGCTCACTGTGTTGTGCTCTACAGAATTACTATAACAGAGATGTTAAGAAAACATCTCAGATCTGTGTTGTTTTAACGTAGGCATTACGAGTACTGAGCTTGCAGGCTAGACTCGCTGTTTTTGCTCTTTCGCTGGAAAAAGGCCTCCATACAGAGAAGAARAGTGATAAACACATAAGCAGGTAAATGTGGGATCCCACCGACACAACAAGGATCTTGGAGCAGGGGCGGGCCAGTCATTTAACAGCTCGTTTAAGCTGAAGACGACCGAGTTGTGGCGGACTACACGGATCCCCCACGTGCATCCTGCAACTCGCGGTCGGTTTCGCGCCGCTCCCGTCGCCGCGGCCCGGGAGGGCTCCTGCCGCCACCGCCGGGGCGGGATCCCGGCCCCGMGGCGATGCTGCTGGAGCCGCCGAGCGCGGCCCCTTCCCCGCGCCCCCCGGACACAAAGAGTGGGAGGCCTGAGGGGGAGGGAGGACGCGACCCCGGGCGCATTCCTGCTACCGGGGCCAGCTCTGGGCGGCGGAGAGGGCGCCTTCCTCCTCCACCCCCGGCGCCGGGACAAAGGAGGCGCGGGAGGGCTGCGGAGCCCGGCCCGGGGCTCTCACCGGGGAAGGCTCCGCTGCCCCGCAGCCCCCGCGTCTCTCCAGGCTCTCGGGCGAGAACCGGGGTGGCCACAAGCGCCCGGCGGGGCCGGTGGCGGGGCCGCCCGCCTCAAGGTGACACTCGCGGCCTCCCCCGCGCCCCCGCCGCCTCCCTTCTCCTCCTCACCTGGCACCTGCAGACGATGTCGGCGTCCTGCGCCAGCAGATCCACCACCTTGCCCTTGCCCTCGTCGCCCCACTGGGCGCCCAGCACCACGGTGACCTTGTTGCCGGGGCGGCGGGCGGCGCACTCGCCGTTGGGGATGGCGGGTCCGCCGTGCTCCGCCATGGCTCGCGCTGCCCGCTCCGGCGCCGCTCCAGGCACATGCGGCAGCGCGCGCCGGCCGCTCCGCTCCCCCCGCCTCCGCCTCCTCCGTCCCCTCCCCGCCAGGCGGGCGGGCGGTGCCGCCGCTGCCGCGTCCAGGTGCCGCCGCCTATCGGCCTGACCTGCCCCGCCGCTCCCCGCCAGCCCGACCCCTGCCCTCAGCCGGAGCTCGCCGCTCGTTCCCGTGGAAAAGTGGAGCGGCCGCCGCCTCTCCCGGCCACTCTTTTCCCTGCCGCTCTCCACAACGCCTCCCAGCTCCGACTACATTACCCAGTGCGCCGCGCGGCCTCTCCCGCGCGGGGCGCCGCGGGGAGCTGGGCGCGATGCATGTTGGGGCGCGTAGTCGCGTCGGCCGCACCTGCGGCAGGATGGCGCCTCGGCGGTTGCCCCGGGCGGCCCCGCTGCAGCGGGAGGCCCAGCGGGCAGGGCGGGGTGGCCATGGCGGGCGGCCGGGCCGGGGCGGCGGGGCTGGGCTGGGATGGCGCCTGCGCCGGGCAGCCGTGGGAGGAGGGCGCCAAGGGAGAGCGCTGATGCTGTGCCCGTCCCGGAGAGCTGGCTCTGGCTCCCATTATCCGTCGGGTTCCTGCTGTCGCGGGTGTCAAACCTGCACGCGTGTGTGCAGTATATCACAGTGTTGCCTACGCGGTTGGGCTTGCTGGATTAATGGTCAAGGCCATAAATTATAGTATGGAGAACCAAGGGCTGAATGTAAGAGGCCATTTTCTCCAGAGACACCGGAACATGGCCCCAGGCTTATTCATGAGGGGAAAAAAAAAACAAACAATAATGGAAAAAACCATAGCAGAGAGACGCCTTCACCATGCACACTCAGAAGTGGAACTCATGTCTCAGTAGCATTCCTTCCTCCTTCACAGAACCAATAGCCCCAAGGGAGATTTTTTTTCTTCTTTTTAAAAGTAGCTATTAAAAAGGCATAAAAAAATCTGAATGGTGTAATAATTATTGCCAAGACAGTTATTCTAAGACCTGAGTCACTGAGCAGTCACAGTCTGCAGCTGTCTGGCGGGTTGTAGTGTTTCATTTTAGTTACTTGCTTGCTCCCTTAGATTTACTCCCKCCAAGAAGTTGAAGATTTATAAAAGCCACTGAAGAAAGCCACACAGACAAAACTGTGTCTTGTAAAGCAGGAGAGGTATATAACACATAATTAAATATAAAATTGACATAGAACTCTTTTTTTTTTTAACAACAGCTGAAAATATCTAAATCCTGAGTGGCAATGCTAAGAGATGCTATGACAAAGTAGTCAGTTCAGAACAACGATATTAAGCAACTGCAAATGATGGGAGGCAATTGTGTGTATGTACTTCAAAGAGCATAGTTCCTTAAAGGTACCTTATAATCCAATTTTGTCTGGTTATGCTAAAAAAAAACATAGTCATGATTTCTGTATACCTGCACAGAGCCTGTAGGAAGTTACTAAAAGCCACGTGGACCCGCCAAAGTAATTTTCTCCAGTCTTTTTCACACAATGGCAAACTTTGCTTCAGTGCACTCACTTCGGCRGCCATAGATCATCTCATGACTCCCCAAGCAATGGTCAAGATTGTTTCAGGATATGATTTTCCAGTGTAGCTGAATCATATTAACACTTCACCATTGCCAAAGCAAATATTACCTTGGATCTCAAAATAAGAGTTCATAGTGTCCTAGTAATGTGGAATTAGTGTAATGTCACTTTCCAAAGAATCTCAGACACAGGAATCTGTTGTTTTGCTATTTTTATTTGGTGTACGAGATCTCTGAGATTATGTTTTAGTATGGTTTCTTATTAGGGAAGAAAACTATAAACACTTCACTTTCAGAAAACCTGTAACTATTTAATGAAGATCAAGTTAATCAATACTGGTTGGTACTGCAAGGTTTAGAATTTTTATCTAATATATGGTATTATGTGGGTCCATCATCCATCCCCTTTTCTTTGCAAACCAATGGAGGCTTCCATTCTAATGCCAAAAGATACTAAATACTCTTTATTTGCCCAACTCACTAACTGTATTTATAGTGTAGTTCTAAAACATGGTGACTGTTGACCAAAGCACAAGCACAACTGGTGTCTAATGTCTTTTATCAGAAACGGGTAACACACTTGTGTTCATTTACTATAARCAAGAAAACCAGCAAGAGCACACAGTGCTACTGTACTGGGTTTTCCCTCTAATGTACATGGACTACATTAGMTTTTTTCACTTACTTGGGCAAGCTGAATCTGCTCTGTGAGAGGCCAGGTGGGCACAAAATGGCAGGAGTTTGTGTTTGTTCACGGAATAAAGGAATGTGGCTGTCTTTTTTGGCWTTACCAAGATGGTATGTGGGATTGACTTTGTCAAACTGAACCCATGGAAGAAGTGTACACTGGTAAAGCTCAGGTTGTATTGTCTTCTAGAYTGTTCAGTGTTATTCACCGGATATGAAGAGCTGAGCCAGTTACATTTATTACAAATTTCACTCTACTCACTTTCTGGGTACATTCATGCTTTTCATTTGACTGCATTTCTTGCCTCCCAACAAATGCAGGACACTCAGGATTTTTTGATAAACACTGCACAGAAGTCGTGTGAGATCTGCATTTCATTCAGATGTGTTAAAGATCTATGTGGAATTGTTTTCAKGTGTGTTTATACTGATGAAGTATTCCACATATTCTGATTATTCATTTAAAATTAAATACCAAGTAGTTGAGAGGAGAATTTGGGTAAGAACTTCAGTAGTTCAGAAAATCAAGAGTGAGCATGAATGAAGGGAAAATGCTGTAAGCAAGARGGCCAGCTGGACAGTTAGCTTATGGCTGCTTGGTCAGAGTGTACTATTTCTTTCTCCTTAATGATACTTCTTAATTGTTTTTAAGGACTACTGAATGATGGTAATACTCTTCCGATATTGTTTCTCCTACTGTAAGCAATTTCTGAGTTTCAGGGAAGRCACAAATTGAAGAAATAACCCTGAACAGTGAAAATATCAGGGTACATGGCCTATAGTAGGAGTTTTCTGTTAAAACAGACATGTCTGCCTGTGACAGTGATGTAATACACAGATATTTTACGCTGAGGTCTTATCTACACTAGAACAGTGGCTGCAGAAAAGCAGTCTGTGGGCCATGGTTAGCTAATCTGCGCGTGTCCTACAGAACTGTGTTAAACAATAAAACTTTGAAATTTTTCACTAATCTCATTACAATGTTCAATAAAATGTAGGTTAGTTTTACTCCTGATTATTTACAACATCTTTAGAGCATTTTCTTATTGTGAGTTGGTGTTAAAATGTACAGTTAAGATGACTCACAAAAAATATTAGGTGTTGAAAATGTCATRGTCAAAAAAAGCCTAAGAATCGCTGTGCCAGACATGGTTGGCATCTGTAGTACTTCAGACTCTGCAGAATGCTGTCAGCTTAGCTKAGGAGGAAGAGAAATCATTATACAGTCAGGACATACATAATTTTATTTGAACAGTGTGCTAATGTAATTGATCCCTGCTTGTTGCCTGTTATTACTATTTTTAATTAGTTTTTCCAGTTAAAATTTCCCTTAATTATTTTTGTTACGTTCATTAGAGTTTTTTTTTATCTTAATGAGATAAAGAACGTTACAAAGTAATGTTTTTGTATGTTGTCACGAATTATATATTGGGGCGCAGTAGCAAGTGCTTTCAACTCTTTGGGTAGACGTATCTAGAACATGAAAGAATTTCATTTATTGATTGAATTTTATTTATTGAGTTGGAATTTCCTGATGTATGTACTGCAGAAGATAAAAGGTAAAAAATCATAAACACCACCACAAAAGCAAGAGTTTGAATTCAGTGGGAGAATAGCTCTGATAATACAGGATACTTTTGAATTTCAGTRGCAGTTTACAGACACATATTTTTTACATGCAAGTGTAAATGAAGTAGCAGCTGACAAGACTGGAGATAGACAGGAAAATAAAACACTGTGCTTGACAAGTTGCAAAGCTAAATCCTTTGCCTGAAAATGAGATTTGTAAATTATTATTTGCAAATACAACTACTTAATATAAAACTAAAAAAAAGCTAAAAAAATTGAGTTCTTCAGATCTGCATACTTCATTTTTCTCTAAGAGAACAGCAAGCAAATTGCTGTCTTTGCAGAGCAGAAATGAAATTAAGATTTCTGTTTGTGTGATACTGTAATTTAAATAGATTTATGTCAAATATGAAAATTGATGTATATGTTACAAATCAACTTTTATTAGTGTTCTCCTCAGAATTTCACTATTTGTCATTTCAGCAGCAGGTTATCCTTCAAGGCAGGTGTAAATAAGTTCCCTGTTCCTTAGTGTTACTTGTTAAGAGTCTACAAAGACACTGTRTTTTGTCTCAGTCTCTAACAGCATCAGCCATTGAAAGTCTAATAGAAAGGAAATGTGGAAGATATGAGGTAATGGCTTTTTTGAGGACTTTATAGATGTATAAATTTCTCAGAGTATGTCTCTTTAATTCAGAGRGAATGGAGCACTACGTAAAGGAAATGAACAAAACAAACAAAAAATCCTTAATGAAGGTATAAATCCTTGTTGTTGTTTTTATTTCTAAAAACAGGATGCCAAAAATCACACAATACTTAACAAAGGAAAACATTGAATTCGCTGAAAGGATTTCCTTTTTCCTTTGTCTGTTTTTTTGTTAGAATARTTCCCTTATCTGGATCATTGCAAAAGTGTTGGCTCAATAGAGGGAAGCACAGTAGCCCCAGTTTACACAGGCTTAATCTGTTTGAAAACAGCACACGGAGTTCACAATCTCTTGGAAGTGCAACTAGGGCTGTGGGTAAGAGCTACTGCATCAACAGAAATTCTATTTGGTTGTTAAATACAAGTTAGAATAAAGAGTTTTGTCTCTATTAGCCTGTTACCCAWATACCCACGTCTTGAAAACCCTTAATTTCTTTTGCTGGTAATGCTATCTGATGTTTTGGGCCACAATAGTATGAGACTAAGCCCGTGAATGGGGTGAAGTGTGACCTTAAAGGCAGGTGAYAAAGATGTGTGGGCCTCTAGAAT